ATAGAGAATGTGCAATTTTAAAAGCCATAGAAAATATTAATAAAGGAAGATCAAAAACTACGTTGAAATTTCGCGTTATAACTCCATTTTGATTCATAGTTACTGAATAGGGGAATTGTAACGGCCATTATTCCAATACTGTCTTGTGCTTTTACATAATTCGTGAGCAGATAAGACCTACATGATGCACCAGTAAGAAATGGAATCTAAATAAGACATAAGGTTTAGATAGTTCATATACTATAGTATAGTCGTGTAATAACGCACTCTGCCCTTTATTTTATGAATTTTAAGCACCTGTAGCGTTAAGTATCAAACTTTGAAGCCTGATGTACATGCATCAAATACGTCAATACATAATATATTAAGTGCGCGTTATTCGTTATTCCGGTGCGTGCATGGGCATTATTTAAACCAAATATGTTTTTAAAAGATGCAATTTCTGAAACAACCTTATGAGCGGTAGTATTTGTAGTCGACATAAATTTGTCGACTAAGTCGAAGTTTACAAATTGGTTTAGCCGGCTACATAAAGTCGGATGTAAAAAAATCGTCATTTTCCACGATCATTTTACAAACAATTATTAAAGTTGGCCCAATTTAAATTTAGGGTTAGCATGACTTTAAATTAGTGTTAGAATTAAAAAATCGGTGAAATAACCGTTTGTGAAACTGGGTGAATCCCGTTTCTGATATGAAGAGAATGAAATTTTTTCTATAACCATAAATACTACTGTACTAACTCTCATATTCTAACTGAAAGTTTTTTTGGTCCGTATCACTCGCAGAAATAAGTACTTCCCACAAAATAGTCATAGCGGTCCCTGCTTCGTTAAAAAACAATGCTCTAGGTATGAAAAGATTAAAAAATGAAAAGAATTCACACGCACGGAAAGTGTTAAATGGTTTTATGCGATATTGCTAGTGATGCATAATTGAATACCTATAAAGTTGCTAACCTGTGATGTAACGAAAAATGTAATTCTGTAGTATATACAATAGATAAAGATGACGAACCTAGCATAACCACAAGATCATACATACATACAAAATCACTTGAAATTCATATGATGCCGTGTAAAGATATTTTGAAACTTTAGTATTAACTATATGAACTATATAATTATACACCAATATTATTTATCTCATTTGATGCATCTCTTGGATAATCGCTTATAAAAACTTAAGTTTAAATATTTCACCGATAGAAACTAATATCAACCATAAATTTGCCCAAAACAATAAAAGTGAAATTTTGTTTGCTTCTTTTAAAATACCGTAATATAGTAGGTAAATTGCTATGCAAACCAAAATTATTTCCATAAATATCACTTCTATCA